GAGGAGGCGGAAGATCACTTCTTTTTAAAGAAGTCATTTTTGTTTCTGTGATTTTTGGCTCCTCTTCTAGGTCGTAAGCTTCATGAAGGCAGGGGCTATGGTCTAGCTACCGTGGTCACTACTATGGTCACAACTCTCTCTAGGACATAAAAAATGTCTGGTGCTTAGTAGGTGCTCAATAAATATCAATCTAGTGAATGAATGAATGACCTTGACAGCTCCCTTTAGTCTGGGAGACTAGGATGCTCCCAGCTCCCTGTCCAGCTGGTGAGCTGCCAAAACAGAGGTGCGTGGTTTCCATGGCAACAGAAGAGGGCTGCCAGGCCAGAGGCAGAAAGCAGACACAGGGATTGTGAGCACAGCATCTTTTCAAGGTGTAGACTGGACATTGGAAGCATGGCAGTGGGCAAGGGCTCTGTCAACTGGATGATGAGAGGAAACACAGAGCTTTATAAACGTAATTATCTTTCTCATTCACCAGACAGGTTGGCCAAGTCAATCCATGAATGCTCATGGGAGTAATTTGGGTGTGAGAAGGTAGGTAGCGGATGCTTATTGTGCAGAGGGCTAAGCACTAAGGAATATTTTGTTCTAATTAGACTCTGCTGTGTGATCCAGGACAATGTCCTTAACTTCTTTGGGCCTCCACATGCTCATTAAGATGGGAGGTTTGGCCAGCTCTAAAAGAATTTATATAAGGGACTATATGAAAATGTAAAATGGTGGGTATGGGCATGTAAACTGATGCTGCCTCTGTGAAAAAGAATTCAGTGGTTTCTCCAAAAGTTAAACATAGAATTATCATATGACTCAGCAATTCTACCTCCAGGTTTACACGTATATCCCAAAGAACTGAAAATAGCTACTCTGTGTTGGATCCCAGAATGCTCCAAGCAAAAATGGAGACAGGACTTTGTCTCACATACTTTGGACATGTTACTAGGAAGGACTGATCGCTGGCAAAGGACAGCATGCTGGGTAAAAGGTCAGTGAAAAGATGGAGACCCTGGGTCACAGGATCGACACAGCAAACATCTTAATAACAGTTGTGGGGATGGTGGGGAACCAGGAGGTGGGGTGACTCCTCAGAGCCAACCAATGAACAACTTCAATGTACACTTGTAGATTGACCCAAGGTGGACACAACCCAAATGTTCACCAGTGGATGTATGGAGAAACAAAATGTGGAGTAACACACAAAGAACACTGACGAACCTCGAAAACATTATGGGGAGCGAGAGGAGTCAGACTCCAGAGGTCACATAGTGCATTTATATGAAATGTCTGCAATAGGTAAGCCCATTGGTACAGAATACAGATTGATAAGGAGTGGGGGAATGGTCAGCACCTACTTCACGGGTGAGGGGCATTATTTTGGAGAATTTTGGCTCTGGGCTTCTAGACAGCATTCTATGTGATTGCAGAAAGTGTGACTGTGTTCCAGGGCACTGAATATTATGGTTATGTGAATTTCACTTTATTAAAACAAAACACAATGGATTAAAATAAAAGCACATGCAAGCAAGCCTGGTAGCCTGAGTTACACAATGGCCATATGGGAGACCCAGAGAAAATGGCTAAGACGGAGGGCCCTGCTATGATTGGAGTTCAGGCATCACTGCCAAGGTGTTGTGCCCGAAAAAAGCTTGAGGTTGCGCCTGGACCTGTCTAGGACCTCTTCCCTGCAGTGGGAAACCGAGCCTCATTCTTCCTATGGGTAAAATACGGTTCCCACAACACTCGATGGCCCAGGCAAGCTACGCCGCTTTACAAGCATCGCAGATTGAGCGTGGAGCTCTGGTTCTACCAAAGGTGAGAAAGGGGCCATTAGACTCCGAGGGTGGAATTCCAGCTCCACCTGTATCTGTGTGGTCTTGGGCAAGCCATTTACCTGTGTGGGTAGAATGGTACTATCTTTATCTGCCTTAGAGGATCTGACTGAACGGATTGCTCTTGAACGGATCCCTTTCTTTGTGCCCTGCTCCCGGGTGGCATCCTCACTGCGAAAATGGCCAAAGTCAGGAATTTGCAGGCCAAAACCGATTCCGAGGGGTTTAGGCACTAGCAGGAGGGCACACATATCGAGTTAGGGCTCTTTGAAAAGAGATGTCCTGATTCCAGGTCTAGGAAACTTTCCTGGGCTCATTCATTCCTTCCAACCAGCGTTTGGCACCGAGAGAGCAAAGGTGTGTAAGGAGACAGAAACCGCCCAGGAACAGTTGTGCAGAGACCTCAGATTCCTGATCACTTCAAGAGACAGGTGTTCCCGTTTTTGGGGTACAAGTTCGGAAACGGATTCCGTTGAACGGAGGCTCAGAAAGGCCTAGAGAGGGCGGTGGAAACGGATTCGAACTTGAGCCTCTGGTGGGCACACTCGAGCTGCTCCTGGCGGCTCACAGGCGGGAGGGCGGACGGGGTGCTGGGGCTCCGGGCGGAGCTGCAAGACAGGCCTTTCATTTGCATGCTAATACCCAGAATGCCTTTCCTCGCATACCGCTTCTCTTAATGGAAGCGCTCAGTTTGGAACCGTGCAAAGTTTGGAACACACACACTCTACTCCCTTTTTGCAACTGTGGGAACTTCCTGCCCGCACATGCGATGCCTGCAGCCCGGACTCTGAGCAAGCCGCCAGCATTTCATGGGCAGGCGACCTGTGGTGTCCAGCGCTCGCACAGCATCCCCCGGCGGGCCAGGGACAGACAAAGCGCCCAGGTCTGTCGGCGGGGGCCCGCCCCCGAGTTCCGAGCGCTCAGCGTCTCCCGGGACTGGTGGTACTGGGCAGGTTCTTGACTTGGGGAGGCCCGCGAGTACTCCCGATCCCGCCGCTGCCCTCACTTCCGTGACTGCTGGGTGCGCGGGGTCCCTACTCCGCGCACCCCAACCTCATCGCCTCCAGGAGCTGGTGACTTCCCGCTCTCGGGGGCACAAAGCTCGGTGTGCGGCGGCTTGGGAGGGAGTCTGGACACGGCTGCCCTCTCCCTAGCTGTTCAGGGCGCAGGGGTGCAGAAGCTGCTCGGGTGGGTGGCCGTGCCCCGGGCCCTGTGCGGGGCCGAGAGCAGGGAGCGGTCGCAGGCAACTTCTGGGGATTCCGGGCAGCAATAGGAGGTGCCCAGGGGTCCTCGGCACCCACTCTGGCCGTGGGTGCGCATCGCAGGCTGGGGGCCGCGGGTCTGAACCTCCACCCCCTCCCGGCCACGCTTGGCCTGGAGGGGAGGGGCATTGGGAGCTGGTTTGCTGGCTCGGCGCTTCGTTTGCATTGGCCAGGGGGGGGTTGGGACTGCAGCCCCCGGCCCCGCGGGCGGGGTGTGGAGGCGGGG